AGGTACAAATCCTTGGGAGGACCTGTCAATGGCTACAGCCTTCCAGTGATGGACTATTTTCTTTTAATCTATTCCTCTCCCACTTTGTTCAGTACCAACAAAGCTCACTTCATGATCACCAGAAGCTGGGGAGAGAAGAGGATATGTCTAGATCTCATTTGCTTGCCCTCTCCCTGCTCCAGACAGACTGAGCCCTAAGCTCTTTCATTTTGTGCTGGTGTGACTAGTACTGAGCATGGGTGTATACTATAGTATCACAAGACATAAGGATGTGTAGTGGCTTAAATTCCTTTATTTCAAATTCTGATTTTGTAGGACTGAAGTGGGGTCTAAGATTCTGCATTTCTGACAAGTGGTGAGTGATGCTGATGCTGATGCTGCCCGCCATGGACCACTTTAAGTATGAAGGATGTACACATTGGGAGCAATTCCATCCACTGACTTGGCCACATGTGAACAATGGCCAAAGGGAATGACATAAATTGTGCTACAAGAGTGGCGGAAGAGACTATATTAGGCCTTGGCCTGGTAGTAAATTATACATTTGGATGGATAAAGGGATGAAATTTCAAGGGAGGCCCAGTCTGGCTAGATGCAAAAAGTAGGGGAGGTGGCATATCTGGACTTTATCTCTGTGTAGTTCTTCTTATGGGCACCTTGCAAAGAGAGGTTTCCTTCATTATATTTGGCTCACTGTCCATTCTCAGGAATGGTGGAAGAGACCCTTTGCTATAAAGGATACTATCTCCATACTCAAAAAACAAAACAACTAAACTCACTGCTGTCCAGTTGATTTTGACTCATAGTGACCCCTTCTTGGGTTTCCAAGGTGGTATCTCTACAGAAGTAGATTGCCCAGTCTTCCTTCTGAGGAGTGGCTGGTGGGTTTGAACTGCCAGCCTTCTAGTTAGCAGTCAGATGCCTTAGGCATTATGCCACCAGAGCACCTACATACTAGAGAGAAATGAATACAGACTTCTGATATCACCAAAGACCTCCTCACCTCCTATAATGACAGTATGAAATAAGTACTAGGCCACACAGAACTCCAAATATCTAAGGGATAAAATGAGGAAACTGAAAGGACCACATCTTATTTGCCTGTGGTTGTTAATAAGTTTGCATTAGTATATGCAAGATCCACACCAATGTGCTCTGGCTGTTTGTTTCTTTGTACCTTATGATGGGACCTTGGGGCTCTCTCTTCAAAATATAATAATGGATCTAATCCTATGCAGGGAGGGTGGTGGAGTGAGTCATAGACTCTGGACATTGTTCTTTAAGCATGGAAATCAACTCATGCTAATAAATACTTGGACAGCTCCTTCTCATAGACACAGCTTGATTTTGAATCCAAGTTTTGGGCCAGGGACATCTGCTACACATTTAAATATAGGCTTTTTGCTTCTACATTCTTAAAGGGAATGCCTACCCAAGACAAGATTATATTGGTCTTTTATATCCTACTTACAGTGAGAATCCCTGAAAAAGGCATAGAGTGCAAATGGGAGAGTATCCTATGAGGCCAGGTAGGCTGATGAAGTGGCTACCTGATGAAGTGACAGATATGTTGGTAGTCATAGCAAAAGGCTGGCAGAAGTAAACAGTATGATCTGTTCCAAGTAGAAGGGACTTGGAGGAAGAGAGCAGTTAAAACCTTATAGGAAATAAATGGGAGAGAGAACACAGAGGGAGACGTGGGGTGTGATGACAGATATAAGTAAGTGTCTTGCTATGTCAGTTGCACCAGGAAGTTGTCACATACTGGGAGCTTTGCATACTCTTTTTTAACCCACATGACAGTTTAAAAAAAAAAAAAAAACCCATACCCACTGTCATAGAGTCATACCCAACTCATAGTGACTGCAATTGGGTTTCCAAGGCTGGATATCTTTATGGAAATAGATTGCCTCATTTTCCTCCCATGGAGCACCTGGTAGGTTTGAACTGCCAACCTCCTAGTTAGCAGCCAAATGCCTTATCCAGTACACTACCAGAGCTCCTGAATATAGCGGTTTAGGGAGGTACAATTCCAGTTCATGAAAGAGTCCTCTGAAGTTCAGAGATGTAAGAAGACTTTGCCAAAGGCACACAGTCTGAAAGTTACTAAGCCTAATTTTAAACACACATCTTTTGAATACAAAGTCTCATGTTTCTGTACACTAAGGCAATAATAAATACTATCTAAGTTTGAATTGGCCAACTGACTGGAAGAGATCCATATTTGTGCCCATTCCAAAGAAACGTGATCTCACAGAATGTAGAAATTATAGAACAATATCATTAATATCACTTGCAAGTAAGATCTTACTGAAGATAATTCAGAAACGTTTGCAGCAGTATATTGACAGAGAACTTCCAGAGGTTCAAGCCAGATTCAGAAGAGGACGTGGAACAAGGGATATCATAGCTGTTGTCAGATGGATCTTGGCTCAAGGCAGGGAATACCAGAAAGATGTTTACTTGTGTTTTATTGACTATGCAAAGGCATTTGATTGTGTGGATCATGACAAATTATGGATAACATTGAGAAGAATGGGAATCCCCGAACACTTGATTGTACTCATGAGGAATCTGTACCTTGACCAGGAGGCTGTCGTTCGAACAGAACAAGGGGACACTACATGGTTTAAAATCAAGAAGGAAGTGCGTCAGGGTTGTATTCTGTCTCCACACTTATTCAATCTATATGCTGAGCAAATAATCCGAGAAGCTGGACTATATGAAGAAAAACGTGGTATCAGGATTGGAGGAAGAATCATTAACAACCTGAGATATGCAGATGATACAAGTTTGCTTGCTGAAAGTGAGGATGACTTAAGGCACCTACTGATGAAGGTTGAAGAATACAGTCTGCAGTATGGATTACATCTCAACATAAAGAAAACAAAAATCCTCACAACTGGACCAATGAACAGCATCACAATAAATGGAGAGAAGATTGAAGTTGTCAAGGAATTCACATTGCTTTGTTCTACAATCGATGCCAACAGAAGCAGCAGTCAGGACATTAGACGACGTGTAGCATTGGGAAAGTCAACTGCGAAGGAACTGTTTCAAGTGCTGAGGAGCAAGGATATCTCCTTGAGGACTAAGGTGCGCCTGACACAAGCCATGATATTTCCAATCGCCTCGTATGCATGTGAGAGCTGGACAATGAATAAGGAAGACCGAAGAAGAGTTGATGCTTTTGAGTTGTGGTGCTGGCAGAGAATGCTGAAAGTACCATGGACTGCTGAAAGAACTAACAGATCTGTCCTGGAGGAAGTGCAGCCAGAATGCTCCTTGGAAGCAAGAATGGCCAGACTTCGTCTCACCTATTTTGGTCATGTTGTAAGAAGGGACCATTCCCTGGAGAAGGATGTCATGCTTGGTAGGGTGGAGGGTCGACGAAAGAGGGGGAGGCCTTCAACGAGATGGATTGATACGGTGGCTGCGATGATGGGATCAAGTATAGCAGGGATTGTGGGGCTGGGGCGGGATCAGGCAGTGTTTCATTCTGCTGTGCATGGGGTCACTATGAGTCGGAAATGACTTGACGGCACTTAACAACAACAACAACAAAGTTTGAATTGCCCCAAAGGCAGACCCTTGGCGCAGGGAGCTCATTTAGGAGGTAATTGTAGGGAGCACAAGTAAGAAGTGGGGAAGGAACACAGGGAAAGGAGGAAAGCCAATAAAAGGAATGTTAATCAGCCTGTTACTGTTGTGGATAACTGGGGCTCCATTCCCCTGAGGACCCTCTGAGAAACTCTGTGGAACATGCCCTGGCATTGTGTCACAAGAGCATAGGAAGCTGGGATATTTATCTACCAGTTTTTTCCTCCTGTGGTTGAGATTGCCTTCCAAGATAAAAACCCTTGAGTTGTGAAGGTGACAGGTACGGAGAATTCTGAGGAAATGGGATGGAGCATCAGGAGTATTACCTTGGCTTCCCTTTGTGGAAGACCTAATGAGAGAGTCAAGCACTTCTAGATAAGAGCACTGGAGCATCTGAGAGCCAGGCTGCCTTTCCCGCTGTACCGGGATAGTGATCTAGGGTTGACTGAGGGCCAGGATTCCCAGGAGCTTACCTTACCCCAATGAGGTTCCCTTGAGTGGGGAAGTAGTAGGTACAGTGGCTCTGAGAAGCTGAAGCAGGGTTCACTGGGGTCAGATTTTGCCTGGTTTGAGACTGGCAGAGAATATGGTGACTGCAGACAATGAGTGGTCAGAAGCTGTACAGTTCTTAGGTACCTGTCCCCTCTTCAGTCTGGCCTTATCCTATTGGGGGCTCCCAGTCTCAGGAATGTTCCAGGTGCCATTTGAGGAATCACAGTGAAGTCATTGACCTTGGGGCCGCCCCATAATGTTTCTTCCCTCAAAGCTTAATGTTTGTGACAATTTCCTGTTTGTTTCCTAAAGGCCTAACATGTTCTTCTTCCTCTGGGTGTGTAGACAAGTCACAACTGTGCTATGGTTGATGTTTATTCACATACAGCCTTACTGAATCCTCTGCATCAGGAACTAGTGAACACCCGAGTGCTGGGCAGTCCCAGTCCCAGTGATGCAGAACCTCCTTCCTTGCTTACTTGGTTTAAAGGCCTGGGCCCTGTCAGAGCCTGTCAGAGCACCCAACAGTGGTAGAAGCTGTAGTTCAGGATAGCAAGGACACAGCATCCTCTATAAAGAGGCTGGTAGCACAGTTTGTAGCTGGGAAGTCAGCTGACGATTGGTCTCCTCTTACTTCTGGGTCTCTGGCCTTGGAGCTCCCTGTCATTTTAGGGCTCTGGGTCTAGGCCTGGACAGGATTTTCAGGTACAACTCCTTCTGCTGGGAGGTAGGCTGTGCCCAAGAAAGTGAGGGAGCAAGGTGTGTTTCTGTGGAGAGTATATTCTGATTGGTGCCGCTCCTGGGTCTGTCATCAGCCCTTCCCCTGAGCCAGAGCCAAATTGTTGCTTGGAACTGATTCAGATTCTCTCCTGGGCCAGTCTGGGCCAGTCTGAAACACCAACACCATAATGGACAGATACTTAGTTAGAGGTAATTATAAGCTCTTCATGGAAAGGCAAAAATTGTAAAGGAGGCTTATTCCATCCTATATCTTTTATATATTTGCATTTTGATTTTCTCTATAGTGTCATCCAGGACAGAACCTCTCTTGGGGCACATTCAGGATATTAGTCATCAGGTGTGGTTCCTTCAAGACCAGACCCTCGTAGCAGTCCCAAGGAAGCATGGTGTGATTCCAGGTGAGTGGCCAAAGTCTTTTGGAGAAAGCCCCTTTGGCCAGTGCTGGTGTGTGTTTTGTGCTCAGACTTCTGTTTCATAGTAAGCTTATTAACTGCCCCTACTTGGAGAGGAAAGCATCTCACAGGCAATTAACAAACCAGAGGATAATCACAGGGTTCTTCTGTGACTATCGTCATAAAGTCAGTAAAGACTCAAGGGGGCCTGTGGAAAATGGGGGAATACCTTTCCTATGAATCTCTGAGGAGTAGGACTAAGACAAAGGATCAGAGTTTCAGGGCAGACCAATTTTGATGCCACCAAAGGCTGACTCCACTAATGGAAAGAGTTCTTCTGCAAATGTGGGTTTTGTTTCTGGGGAAGGTGGTGAGTGACCACTCAATGAGTGTCTATTAGCCAATTTCAGCCTTGGTTACCTGGTGCAGAGATGCTGCTGACACCTGAACTCCATTCTACCTGTTGTGTTCCTAGTCACTATTGCTTTAATCTCATGCAAATATCCGGAGACTCTTGAGAAAGACAAAGGAAATCCCATTTACCTGGGTCTGAAGGAGCCAGAGCTGTGCCTGTCCTGCAGCAAGGTCAATGATCAGCCCACGCTACAGCTTATGGTGAGTGTGGAAAACAAGACTCTTGTCAAGGTCTGTCCAAGAGATGGGAGCCCATTTAATTTACAGAGAGTTTACCAATGGAAACGCTAGAATTTAGAATCTTTCAAAAGACATTTTATTTATTATTCTCATGCACATTTATTTTGGGCTCTATTTTTTTGTTATATGTTTTGTGAAAGAATAAGAAAAAGTCCCTTTATTTTATTTACAAAAATCAGTAAGGAAGAATATATATGTATATACCTTCAGGTAATTATAATCTCCTCATGAAGCTTACATATATAGTCAGACCAGCAAGGACATTTTTAGCAGTTAATTATTATTTTATTTTATTTATTTATTTATATTGTGATTTGGGTGAAGATTTACAGAGAAAATTCACTTTCCATACGTTCACATATACTTTGTCTCATGTTGTTGACCAAAATTTACCACAATGCAATAGTTCCCCTCCCACTTCCTCCCCATAGTTACCTCTTCCCAGTGTTCATCCCTCCATGCACTCCTGCCCCCTGAGCTGTCTCCCTCTGCATAAGCAGCCCTTCCTTCTCCCATGAATGTTCTCTCCAGGGCATGTGTCTACTTGAGGTAAATGTTTAACTCATATGCCTGTACTTTGGCTGGAAACCACAAGTGTGTTCAATTCCAGACCTGAAGGGCAGCTAGGGGCCATAGTCTCAGTGGTTCCACCAGGCTCTATTGGACTAGCAAACCTGGTCCCCACCTTCTTTTTATTCCTCCAAATGATTTTGAGTTTTGTTCCACATTGTTCTCCCTCTCTATCAAGGATCTCCTACATAGATCCCCTTCCAAGTGGATGACAGTGGTAGCCAGGCACCATCTAGTTCTTCTGGTCTCATAGTTGTATAGGTTGCAGATCGGATGGTGTACCAGTCACTAGGACTAATTGTTTCCATTAATTTTTTTTTTTTTTTTTTTTCTTTGCTCTGGATAAGGAGAGACCCATCGCTGCATACAGATGGCAGCTTGCTAGCTTTTAAGATCCCAGTCGCTACTCACCAAAGTAGGAGGTGGAACAATGTTTTGTATAGTATGTTATGCCAATTGAGCTTGATGTCCCCTGCCACTATGGTCCCAAGCCCGCAGGTTCAACTACTAAGTCCCTCTGGGTAGCTGGCTGTGACCAAGCAGTGACCACAGCCTTGCCCCTTGTCAGCTCTACTATACTTCTAGGAATTCTGATCATTCACATAAACTTATAGGACCATTGTCTGCCAACCCTAAATATGATCTTGGATACACTCCCCATTTCATAGACATACCTAATCGTTTAGCCTGTCCACCTATCTATCCATCCATATACCCATGTTTGCCTTCACTGATAACTCAGTACTGTATGTGCAAAAGGGTTCATATTTGTTGTCTGTACCTCCCATGTACCTCTCTATGTCTTTCTCATCCTCAATGCTGCCATATTGGTCACTCACATTTGGTACATTGCTCTTATCTTCACCCAAATCAATATTTATCTCTATCTATCTAACAGCATTCTCTCCCCTCCCCTCACACCCCTGGTAACCAACAAAGAAACTGTCCTTCAATAAAACCTTTCCTTAACTTTTACAATAACGGACTAATACAATATTTGTCCTTTTGTGATTGAGTTATTTCACTCAGCATAATGTCCTCCAAGTTCATCCACGTTATGCGGTGTTTTGCAGATTCTCCATTATTCCTGAGTGTTGCATAGAATCCCATTGTGTGTATGTACCATAGTTTGGTTATCCATTCCTCAGTTGATGGACATCTAGGTTGTTTCCATCTTTTGGCTATTAGCAGTTAATTATTATAAAGTGAATGAGCATATTAAAACATATTTGGACAAAAATAGCTTATAATTTTAAGTAAACAATCATTGTAAGAAACATTTTAATAATTGTAGTCTACTATTTAAACAACTCTATAAATTAGGCAGGAGCTCTGGTAGCATAGTGGCTAAGGCACTTGACTGCTAACCAGAAGACTGGTGGTTCAAACCCACCAGCCACTCCTCGGAAGGAAGGTTGGGCATTCCTACTTCCGTAGTGATACTGCCTCGGAAACCCAAGGAGGGGTCGCTATGAGTCGGGGCCGACTCAATGGCAAACAACAACAACAACAACAATATAAATTAGGCAAACTTAACTACCAAACCAGACATCTGTACATTATAGGAACTCTCCTGGCCCTTTTCAGTAAACAAGCCTAGGCAGAAACTCAATTTGATGACAAGACATAACACAGTGATTCTTAGCCTGTGGTAGTTTTGTATCCCAGGCGTCGGGCAGTATCTGGAGACATTTTTGGTTGGCATAACATGGGTGAGGTGGGGGAGTGCTACTGGTGTCCAGTGGTTATAGGTCAGGGATGTCTGCTAAACATCCCATAATGCACAGGAGGGACCCCTACAGCAGAGATTTTGTGGCCCAAAATGTCAATAGTGCTGAGACTGGAGAAACCTGACCTAAAAAACTTTAGTTTTACTTAAAAATTTATTGTAACTGTTATGTGAATACTCTTCAGGCTACTCCATTTCTAAGCAACAGCTAATGGCTTATGTAGGGCTTTGTATTCTCAAAACTAGTAAGTCAACAACTTCTGATTTAAGAACCATTGAAATTAGTGGCTTAAAGTTTCAACCATTATGTTAACATACATAAAAGTATTTGGGGCTTATTATTTTAAGAATTTAAAATAATGGAGGAAATAGAGGTCTCTAGGCTTGCTGTGATGAATGTGTAAAGCTATCTTGGACACACAATGTCAGTGTATCAAGAATGTTGGACAATTCAAGCTGTCATGTTTTTCCCTGGGCCTTCTTCCCACTTTTCAGGAACAGAATATATTGGATTTATACAACCAAACTGAGCCTGTGAAGTCCTTCCTCTTCTACCACAACCAGAACGGCAGAACCTCCACCTTTGAGTCCGTGGCCTTCCCGGGTTGGTTCATTGCTGTCTCCTCTGAAGACGGCTGCCCTCTCATTATTACCCAAGACTTGGGGAAAACCTCCACCACTGATTTTGTTTTATCTCTACAGTAGTAAGATCAGTTTGGATTTGGAGGCCACTGCTAGCTGAAGAGAATCTTGTCTTTGTTTTTTCCATTCTGTTGATGCTTCTGAGATGAACACTATCATTCTGACCCATTCATTAAGGGATGGATGTTTTGAATTATCTCCAATTATCCAAATAGAAACCAGGCTAGCTGGGTTTTAAGCAGTAAGATCTTAGCCTAGAACAGGAAGGCAGAATCTGTTGCTGGGCTTTCAACTCAAAAGTATCTTGCTGCCCCCAATATGTTCATATATTCTCTCTTTCTCCATATGTATAGAGACCAGTTGCCATTGAGTTGATTCTGACTCAGAGTGATCACGTTGTGACTCATGGTGACCCAAAGTATGTCATAGTAGAACTGTACTCCATAGAGTTTTCAATGGTAGATTGCCAGAACTTTCTTTAAAGATACTGCTGAGTGAGCTCAAATCTCCAAGCTTTTGGTTAGCATCTGAGGGCATTAGCTATTTGAACCACTCAGGGACTCCTAATATATCCATAGTAGTGACTTAAATGCTGGCCCAGGCTCTGAGTCCTCTCCTAGGGTCCATGCAGAAAAATATTCTGCAGAAACTCAGGAATTTACTATGATTATGTAACTATTAAAAAAAGAAAGATAAAGTTCTACTTAAAATACTTTGTTAATAATTTTTTCTGATAAGAAATGAGGACAATGACTGTCATTTTAAGTCCAGGTCTCTGGATTTCAGATATATTGCTCTCTAGGATTGTACCCTTCTTGTTATACCAAGATCATTTGGATCCTGAGGGGAAGAAGCAGACATAGAAGTTCCACCAAAACAGAAGAGACCAGAAAGAAAGCTATGCCTCTCCTGGGTTTGACTTATGTCTCAGTGAAGTTACACATTTGGCACTGGTTTGACTGAAGCCCTCCTGTTGTTTATGAATCTTTGACTTAAAACATTATTAGTAGACCTCAGAAACAGTTCCATTTTTGAAATAAAAATTTTGTCCTCTCAGTTGCTCTATTATGAACAGAATGACTTTAATGGAATATCAAGGTCATGATATTGATTCACTACATTTATAAAGAATTTTACAATTAGTAAAGCAGATTTACATGAAGTCTCTTATTTCTATGGGTAAACCAATAGGATTGTTGGGGAAGGTGTATCTTCCTACTCAAATTTTGTTAGGTTTCTCTACTATGGTGTGTAATACAATAAAGGTAAAAAAAAAAAAAAAAAAAAGCTAAATAAAACAAAACAATCAACTGAAAAATACACAAGAGATGACATATTAATTTCAACATACTAGTGATAATAATAAATGTAGATGGGTTTAAGTTCAATATTTAAAGAGAAAGACAATCAGATGGCTTGTTAAACCACACACAGAAGAAAACCTAGCTGTATGCTATTGATGCAAGGGAAAATAGTTCAAAAAAATTCAAAATGTATGATTTGATTAAGATATGCCAGGCATATATAACCCCCAAAAAAAGTGGTTGAAAAGGTCATGTTTCATGTTTCATTGTAAGATATAAATTTATTTTATATGCCAATAACACTAAGACACAATACTTTCTTAATAAAAAACCAAACTCACTGCCGTCGAGTTGATTTGACTCATAGCGACCCCTCCTTGGGTTTCAGAGGCGGTATCTCTGTGGAAGTAGATTGCTCAGTCTTCCTCCCAAAGAGTGGCTGGTGGGTTTGAACTACCATCCTCCTGGTTAACAGTCAAATAAATGCGTTAGGCACTGCACCACCAGAGCTCCCCAGTGCTTTCTTAGACTTATTGAAAAAGCTCTTTAAAAATTATTAAATATATGTTTATTAAACATTTTATAATTTAGTAGTCTTTTTCATTGATAGTAAGGGAAGTATAAGTGAGATGAGTTGGTTACAGTATTCTTAGAACTTCTTCATATTCCAAAGTATGATTATGTTTAATCAATTTTTGACTCACAGTCACCAATGCTTCTGTTTTCACATAAACCCTTTCTATGCCAACTAGAGCACTAATGAAGCAGAAATTTTTAAACAAGCTTTCTGGATGTTATTTCAAGCTGCTGACCTTCATTTCACAGTGATGCTACCACCTATTATATATTTCTTTATCTATGTCACATAGGATGTGTTGATGGAAGGTTTGTGATAAAATTCAGGATCCATATATATATATTTGGTGATTTGTTGAATGGAACATTAAAGGGATGGTGTTTCTTAAATCAATCACCCGGGAAAACAACCATCTTTGCATTGGTAATGGCAATGACAAATATGTCGTGACTACCAACTCATTGACAGTGATTGGAAGGTGCTATGAAATGTAGTAAGATATATCCCAATGTCAGAGATGTTAAAAGGTGAAAAAAAAAATGTAATCAGGGGTTGAAATCAAATGTTCATGAGCTGTTGACTGTACAAATCTGCTTTGTAAATTTGCACCCAAAGCACAATTAAAAAAAAAGAAAAGATAAAATAATGGTATATATGTCTAACGAAGTACTCAAGAAAAACACCAATGATAGGTCAAAGATGAATATTTTGTTTGGATAAAAGGTATGGGCCAACAAGAATTATAAACTTAGAGTCAAAATAACTTAATCAAATAAAGTTTAAACTTAGAGTCGAAATAACTGAATCAAATAAAGTTTAAACAAGATAATTTGATAAAAAGAACCACATAGTGAGATAATCTAATATTCCTCTCAGTAATATAGATCAAGCAACAGAAAAATAAGAGTTTAAAATATATGGAATAATTAACAAACTTCAACTTACATGTAAACATAAATTATCTATATACAATAAATTATTATAATCATATTTACGTATCAACATTATTTTCTTGATATTTGAATAAACTATACAATATTATTGCATACTACCCACAAATATACTCACTAATGAGTCAATTTCTTATTAAATCATTGAGGGACTGATGTTTTAATACAGAAATATTGGTATCTTGCATAGATCTTTAGGATGTTTTGGTGATATCTGGGCCATTTGGGATTTTGTATGGACTAATAATGCATTATTTTCTCCATTGAATATAATGAAATACATGATTTGCTATCTGAAATTTTGCTACCCCACATGATTTCAGAACACATTAGCCATTTGAGTTTCTACTTTTTAAATTGCCTATTCATCTCATTTGCCCATTTTCTTTTCCTGTCACTTTTGTATTTCTTACATTTTTTCTTGTTGAATTGTAGTTACTTACACATTTTAGTGTTCATTCATTATTGGTTTTAGATGTTGCAAATACCTTGTTTTGATCTGTCATCCATTAACTTTTTCTATTATGTCTTCAATAAGAAGAGAAATAATTTTCTTAAATTTTTTTTTGTGGTAGTATTGTTGCTGTGGTTAGGTGCTGTTGAGTCATCTCTGACTCATAGCGACCCCATGCACAGCAAAATGAAATACTGCCTGGTCCCACACCAGCTCCACGGTCCTTACTATGCTTGAGCCCATCGCCACAGCCACTGTGTCAATCCATCTCATTGAGGCTCTTCTCCTCTTTTATTGACCTTCCATCTTTCCAAGCATGACATGCTTCTCCAGGGAATGGTCCCTTCTTACGACATGACCAAAGTAGGTGAGATGAAATCTAGCCATTCTTGCTCCCAGGGAGCATTCTGGCTGCACTTCCTCCAGGACAGATATGTTAGTTCTTTTAGCAGTCCATGGTACTTTCAGCATTCTTCGCCAGCACCACAACTCAAAAGGATCAACTCTTCTTTGGTCTTCCCTATTCATTGTCCAGCTCTCACATGCATATGAGGCAATTGAAAATACGGCTTGTGTCAGGCACACGTTAGTCCTCAAGGAGACATCTTTGCTCTTCAGCAATTGAAAGAGGTCCTTTGAAGCCAATTTGTCCAGTGCTATACGTTGTCTGATGTCCTGACTGCTGCTTCCATTGACATCAGTTGTGGAATCAAGCAATATGAAGTCTTTGACAACTTCAATTTTTTCTCCATTTATCGTGATGCTGCTTATAAGTCCAGTTGTGAGGATTTTTGTTTTCTTTGTATTGGGATGTAATTTATACGCAGATTGTATTCTTCAATCTTCATCAGTAAGTACTTCAAGTCAAACTCACTTTTAACAAGCAAAGTTGTGTCGTCAGCATATTGCAGGTTGTTAATGAGTCTTCCTCCAATCTTGATGCCACGTTCTTCTTCATATAGTCCAGCTTCTCAGATTATTTGCTCAGTATACAGATTGATAAGTATGGTGAAAGGATACAACCCTGATGCACTCCCTTCTTGATTTTAAACCATGCAGTGTCCCCTTGTTCTGTCCAAATGACAGCCTATGTACAGGCTTCTCATGAGTACAATGAGGAATATTGCCATTTCAACCATTTTTATGTGACATTAATTACATTACTTACATTACCATGTTGTGTAAACACCATCACTATTCATTTCCAAATTTTTTCATTACCTTTCACAGAAACTCAATATCCTTAAGCAATAACTCTTCATTTCCTTCTTTCTTCTGCCTCTGGTAACAGCTAATATACTGGTCTCTATGTATTTGCTTATTCTAGAATTTTCATTTTTGAGATCTGCAAAAAGGACAAGGAGACCACATGTTCTGACCTCCTCTAACCCTACAAGAGGAAGACAGGATTACCAGCATAACCCAAGGCCTATTCCTGCCAGGCCAGACATGCTGCCTCCCTCCAGCCCTTTCACCAACCGTTCCTCCCAAAGCACCCACCACCTCTCTCCTGGGTTCGATAATTTGCTGCAGTGGCTCACAGATTATGGGGTTTATTAGGGAAGCACCACAGGCTACAATTCAAGTTCAGAAAAAAATGCTCAGTCTCTCTCCCAGCCCACCGTCCCTCAGCCAACAGTCTCTCACAGTCTCTTTCCCAGCAGTGCTGGGACCTTGGTGTCTCACTCAGCAATGCGTGCCTCTTGCGCCTCTTTACCAGCAGCACGTGTCTCTTTCCGGGGTGCGTGTCTCTTTCAGCAGCACATCTTCCTCAACCA